GCCGGGCGCTGGGTCAAGGTGCCGCCGCCGCACTACATATCGATGTGTTGTTCGACTGGTGCGCGATGAGTCTCGCACGCTAGCGCGCCCAGCGGCGGCTGTGCATGAATGTACACCGCAAATTTCCCTCAATGAGCACGCGCATTTCTACAGAATTAAAAGTAAAAAATCAAAAAAATTGTAGGGAGTTGAACTTTAACAAGTAAAGTGTCTTAAATGCTCCCAACTACATTTATTTTTCAACACATTTTGTTGTTGTAGTTGTTGACGCTTTTGTCCGGAGTGTGGGTGACTTAAGGGAGTGATGGGGTCTTTTACAGCGCTGTGACTGCGCACTTGGCCGCGGTAAATCGCTGTAAAAGGGCGCCGGGTAAGCGATCAACCTGGGCGATGGCGCCGCGCCCTCACCGCCGCCTGTCTCTTTCTTTTATGCCGCGTCGTTTCACTTGAACAAAGGCGGTAAGCGCGCTGTGCGAGCCTCGCGTGAGCCTCGCGTGAGCCTCGTGTGAGCGGCGCGAAACCATGCTGCGGACAGTTTAGAGGCTCGTTTGGGAGCTCGGCGTGGAGACGCTTGCGGCGTAGTATGTATGGGCTTAGAAGCGCGTATTAATCAGGTTCTTGATGGTTTCTTGGCGCTCGGGAGACCTTTAATTTGAAGATTTGCCACGAGACTGTTTCTTAAAGGATCTTGAGACTCTCCGGCGGGGTGTTGTGTTTGTTTAAGTCGTTGAGACATTTCCTAGTCCTTTTCTGTTGGTTTCTCTCAGGTCTTTCTTTCCGACCGCCCTCCACAGTTCCAATACGATTGCATACCCGTTCCTTTTTTAACGCGCATGTCTTGTTTTGTGTTGCAGAGAAACCTGGTTTCACGTCGCCGTACAGTGATAATGGAATGGTGAGTACTTAGGGGTGTGTCAGTCACCTGCTCGGGGTGCGCGTCGCCTCGGCGTCGCCCGGCGGGGGGCATCGCTTTGATAATAATGTAATTAACTGAACAGGGGCGCATGTCTGCCGCCGCGCTCCGCCGCTCCCCCTGATCTGTTGTGCCGCTCTGTGCTCAGCTCCTCCCGGCAGGGTACTTCCTCCTCCTCCTCTACCGCGATTTGAATGTTGGCCTTGCCTTGGCGGGGTGAGGGCAAGGCGGGGCGGGGCGGGGTGGGCTCGGCGGAGAGGGCAGCACGGCGGCGGTAGAGGGTGTGCAGTCGAAGGAGACTTGACTTGTGGGATTAGCACCGCCCGCCCTGTGCCCTACTAAGTAAGTGCTACACACACACGCACGCACGTCCCTCGCTGCATGTGTACCCAGCGCCTCCCTCCCCTTGGTCCCCAATTCCTTCAACATATTCACGTAAGCACATGTAAGGCGGCTTGCACCCACCCACCCTCCCAAACCTCTCGCCTGTCCTCATCTCTCTACCCTCTCTCCTTCCCGACCCCCTGACTACCAGCCTCTCCCCCTGGAAGTTGTTCTTCTCCCTTTTTCTGTCTCGGCTGCTGCTGTGCAGGCGAATTCGAAAAATTGACTCCCCCTTCCCCTTCCCCTCTTGTTTTTTTCCGCCCTCCTTCTTGGTGCTCGAACCCGAAAGCATAAAAAGGAACATAGCGACCGGGTCGGTCCCAGACCTCGGTTCACAACCAACCCTTTTCATGCCCCGCCACTCCGCCCCCTTGTGATTCTGCACGCCCCCGCCCAGCGCCACCCCACCCCGCCCCGCCCCGCCACGCCCCGCCACGCCCCGCCACGCCAGCCTCTCGTAATCCCCCGGCCAGTAATGACTGCATTTACAGGAGGAAGCTCTCATAATTATCATAACTATGGTAATAAAACAAATAGAGCGGCCCATTGGCCACGCCCCTCTCGCCCACCCACCCTCTCTTTGCTTTTCTTTCTCTCCTAACCACCCCTGCCCTCTGCACCTCTCCGCACCTTTCTCTATCGCCCCCTCTCCTCTCTCCCCTTTCTTCTCTTCCCCTCCTCTTCCCCTCCTCTTCCCATCCTCTTCCCTCCCTCCCCTCCCCTCCCCTCCCCTCCCCTCCCCTCGAGGGGGTTTGCTGCCCTAACCTCTCTCTCGTCGTGAACCTCCTCTCCGCGGAGCCGCCGAGCTATGGGGCGGGCCCCGGGGCCCCGACGGGGCGCGAGGCAGGAAACTTATTTTATTAAATTTGTCCTAATTTGTGTGCGTGAAATTGAGCTCGCCTTCTCGCCGGCTCCGCCGCCTTGCAGTTGTTGCGAGTTTGGCTGTTGGCTGTGTGTACGGGTGATTAAAATTGTACCAGAGCCG